GATGGTCAACCTTTAAAACACCAAGTCAACATCCATCCGGAGCTACAATGAGCTGCGGCTGTGATAGAGGAGAGCTGATAAGGACAACCGTCACCGTTTGGGTGGGAAGGAGTAATCAGCCTTCTGCAGCGAGTGTGTGTGTGTGTGTGTGTGTGTGTGTGACAGCGTCAGGGGAACCTAAGTGTGATAAAGAGCAGACACACTCTTTGAAAGGGGCTGCACAAATACCCAGCGCAGCCCAGAAACCAGAGTCAGCAGTACACACACACACACACACACACATACACACACACACAGTGCAAGACTGGCTCATTGTCTTCTTAACTCTCCATTCCTCCTCAGGAGAGGAGAGGGAGCACGTCTTTGTTTGGCTTGGCTCAAATCCACAACACTGCACACTAAGCAATTCCATTCAGAATGAGTGGCAAAGAGTCTACAAGAAAGAGAGAGAGAGAGAGAGAGAGAGAGAGAGAGGGATTCCACGAGCACTCTGTAATGACTAAGGACCAGCTTGCGCCACTTTTTCTCACATTCTCTTTCTCTTTTCTCCCCACAGTATCAGTTTCCGCATTTCTGGCTATCTCTCTCTCTCTCTGGTTATTTTTCAATCTCTCTCTCTCTCTCTACGTTCTCTCTCTCTTTCTCACCCACTTTACAGTTCCAATAGCTTTGAGACCATATTGGTGAAGCAACAGACTAACAATAGCACTAAGCAGCTGTAAATACAGTACTATGCAAATGTCCGAGACCACCCTTCATTTAAGTCATTTCGATTCAAAACACCCCTTCAGTGCCGGTTATTCCTTTTTCAGCACTGAAAAAAAGCAGAATTTAACCCTTGTGTGGTGTTGATGTTTGTTACTCAGTGGTCTGCTGGACCCACCACATTATTGGTTTTTTAAATCAATACAGCCATAACAATTTATGTAAAAACACCAGACGTTTAAAATATCACACGTGTCCAGTGTAGGGTTCTGCTTTAGCAGCTGTAGCCAGTCAGCAGCCTGTCCATGTTGTCCACCCTCACACACTTTTATTCCCTGTGGGTTATAAGTGAAGGTACTGACAATGAGCAAAGGCCAAGGAACCTGAGGTTGAAATAATAATAAATCACATCATTTTTCTTTTGGTAAATTGAAAATGGGTCCCACAGACCCCAACACCACACAATGGTCAGTATTTACCGTGTTTACAATTTGCCTTGTTATTGTGTCTGTTCTTTTTTGGGATATTTTTCCACACCTACAAAGCTCAGTGCTAGAAGTTGGTTATGTTTTCTGCTTCTCATGATCCAAGTAATTCCAAACACATTCAGTGATGTTGATGTCTGGACTCTGGGGTGGTCAGTCCATTGTTCAGCTTGTTTGTTTGATGTGTCCGTCTCCTTTTCTCAGTAAGGGTTTTTTGACAGAAACACATCCTTTCAGACCCACAGCGCTGAGTCGTCTTCTCACAGTGGAAGGATGGACAGAAACACCTGTGGATGTTTTCAGATCTGAAGCAGCTTGATTTTCTCCTCTCTCTCAAAGATGAAAGCTTTAAGTGCTGTTTATCTGATGGGGGGGCAGTTTTGGTGGTCAACCAGGTCTTCCAAGTGGTTGTTAGGAGTCCCATTTTCTCTGTATCTGTTAATAATTCTTTCAACTTTATTTTTAGGAACTTTTTTTTGCTTATTTTCCTTTCGCTTTCCCCCTCTTTACGCAAGTAGATTATCTTATATCTAATCTTCTCAGAAATATGTCCTGAAAAAGGATTAACTTGTATTTAATGGCCATTTTGACAGGAAGTTAAACAAACGAAGGGAACTACATCTGAAACAAACACAATATACTGTTGCTGTTGGAACAAAACCTCATCTGTTTTTGTTGTTTTAAAAATATAAGCTCACATTTACATTGTGTGAAGATTTTTAATGATAAATTGACCAATAGTGATGCTCCAAAATCACCTAAAACACAATGTCGCTGCATTAACTTCCATTAAAAGTTATTCTCCTCTTCCCCCTTTAAAGTTTGCATTTTGAAGATGCAAAGTTTTGTTCAGTGCAGATTTGCTGCTCTTACGCAAACTCTCTCGCTCATACTTCCTCTCTCTCTTTCTTTCACACCCTTTTTACAGTTCCAGTGGATCTGTGACCATATCGGCAAAGTAATCAGCCGACAATAGATTGTAAATGGATCTGTAATAAGACCAAAACAGTTTCCTTTGAACAGTGCTGACGGTTATTGAGTAACTTCCTGCAATTGTCTTTACTAAATGTGTGAGGAACAAAAGGAAGATGTAAACACACACATCAAAGACAGACCAGATTATCTACCAATTCTCTCTCTCTCTCTCTCTGTGTCTGGATTCCTGCAGTGACCAGCACAGCTGAGACCCACAGCAGTGACCCCTCGACCCAAGCAAGGGAATAGTCTCCCTCTCTCTCGTTCTCGTCACCTGATCTTCCTCATATGATCTCATTTCTTTTTCTGCACCCTCTCACCATCTTCTTTCCTTCCTGCCCTTTGTCTCTCCCATCATCCTGACTCACTCTTCCTTTCCTACACCCTTCCCTCCATCACACACAAGTCCGACTTCCTTGGCTCTTCCTGTCCGTCTCTCATCTTGCTTTCTGTTTCTGATAAGCTGACGACAGCTAAAGCTGAGAATTCTATGGAGGATCCCAAGCTGTCAATCAACACCACATTTTTGTTCAGAATGTCCAAAAATATCCACACACCCTTTCTATTTAATGAATTCAGCTACTTTAAGCTGCACCCACTGCTGACACAGGAGTTCAACTACACATGCACAGTGTGCAGTGTGTTTAATCTCCATAGAGAAGCATTGCTGATAGACTGGGATGTTCTGGAGTAGCCAAACCTGAGCCTACGGTCACCATGCCCAGTGCCAAGCATCAGCTCGGGGGGTATAAAGTCCCAGCATTGGGATGTGAAGCAGTGGATCTGAGTTCTCTGGGGTTGGAGTGGCGAAAGTGATCCAGAACTAATCATCCAACATCAGTACCTGACCTTACTAATGCTCTTGTGGCTGAATGCAATCAGATCCTCACAGCAATGGTCCAATATAATATAGACCGTACTGAGAAGAGTAGAAACTTGTTACTGCAGCAAAGAGGGGACAAACTCTCTATTAATACCTTTCAGAATGTTGAGCAAGCATGTGTCCATAAACTTCTGGACATATAGTGTAGAAAAGGTGATGATTAGAGTTTGAAGATATTTTGACTTGTTCGGTTACGTCGATTTTGAATTGTACAGTAACATGACATTAATAAGAACTCTAGATTATCAGTGCTATCTTTACCTGTAGCTATCTTTAACATCTTTCTCTAGAAACTTGCGAAAGCTGTCTGGAATGTTAGCTATTGTCTCAGAGTCGTCCCAGGAATTACTGCTCCGCTTAGGACAAACTCAGACCACACACACACACACACACACAGAGAGAGAGTCACTCACACACACACACACAGAGTCACACACACACACACAGAGTCACACACACACAGCAGGTCCACTCTGTCAGTTTACAGCTGAGTTATCAACCTGAGAGCTGTGCTCTGGGACGACTCGGGCTCTGACAGTTGCTGATAAATGCAGCACGTACAGTAGAGTCTGGAGCAGATACTGTACACAGTCAGGACAGGATTAAGAAGGTTAGTGAGAGAGAGAGAGAAAGTGGTATGCGAGAAAGAGAGACACAGAGAGAGAGAAGGGGGGTATGCAAAAGAGAGAGAGAGAGAGAGAGAGAGACAGAGAGAGATGCATACAGAGAGAGGGGGAGAGAGAGAGAGAAGGGGAGAGATTCCCACAGAGAGAGAGAGAGAGAGAGAAAAGAGAGATACAAAGAGAGATACATAGAGTAAGAGTAAGAGAGAGAGAAAGACGGGAGAGAAGAAAAGAGAGAAAGACAAAGAGAGAAAGGAGAGACAAAAAGAGAAAAGAAGCAGAGAGAGAAGAGAGATACATACAGAGACAGGGAGTCAGAGAGAGAGAGAAAGACAAGAAGGGACAAGAAATGAGAGAAGGTCAAAGAGTGAGTGAGAGAGACAGAGAGAGAGCGAGAGAGAGAGAGAGAGAGAGGGGAGAGAGATTCTTACAGAAAGAGAGGGGGGACTACACAGAGAAAGAGAGAGAAAAACAGGGAGAGATGAGAAAAGAAAGAAAGACAAAGAGAGAGAGGAGATACAGAAAGAGAGAGAGACAGAAAGGGTAGACAGATGGAAAAAGAGAGAGTATAAGAAAGAGAGCGCAACGGAGAGAGAGAGGGAGAGAGACTGAGGGAGGAAAAGAAAAGAGAGATAGCAAAAGAAAAACAAAGCGAGAGAGAGAGAGAGAAAGAGAGAGAGACATACAAACGGGAGTCCCTCACTGACTTCACACATAGACACAAAGCCAACACAAGAGGATCTTACAGCGATGTGAATACTGTGGAGTTAGAGAGAGAGAGAGAGAGAGAGAGAGGGAGAGAGAGAGAGAGAGAGAGAGAGCTCATACAGATGTAAGTGTACTGACTTCACACAAACACACAAAAAGCTGAGATGCAAGTTCTCATCTTCTCCACTATATACAGTGAGGTCGAGAGACATCCAGATAAAACACAGAGAGAGAGAAACAGAAGCAAAGAGCGAGTGAGAAAAGGAGACAGATGAGAGCGCTCCCCCTTTCCTCACCATCCTAATACCTCCGTCTGGGTGAGGGGGCTTTACGACTGCACAGCCATTTGGTTCAGAGACCCAAAACAGTCCCCCACCACACACCCACAAAGCAGTTGTCCAACAAAGACAATAAGAAGCACTTTTAGAGAGGCTTGAACAAACAACGTGAAAGAGTGTTAAAAGCCCGGAGTGTGGGCTCCAAGTCTCGGTCTGTGTCTCTCTCTCACTCTCTCACTGTTGCACACAAACCACTGGCAGAAAGAACTTACAGGTAAACCATCAAAACACAGCAGGTACTCTCCAAAAAGACCAGCAGGAACCACAGAGATCCACTCCATACCTTTCGTGGAAGAAGCTTCTGTCTTCCGTCTCTTTATGAATGAATCCTAGTTGATAGGCTCCGTACACAGTGCTGTACACTCCACTATGATCCAGTGTCTCTCGCTCCTTCTCTCTCTCTCTCCAGTGTTAACTCCACTGTGTTCTTCTTCCAGCCATGTGGAGTGGTCTATCCGGCGAGAGCTCCTAGAGGGGTGTGTGAGTGTGACCGTGTTTCCCTCTCTCGCTCGCTCTCCTGCTCGCTCTACCCTCCCCTTTCCTCCACTCCTCCCTCCTCCCCCTCTCCGCTCCCCCCCACCCCTCTCCGCTCCCTCCTCCTCCTCTTCCTCTGATCCACTACTGAATGGCCAGCATGCGCTCTGGCTCTTCGCCTCCAAGTCATGTGAGCCCCCCTTCACCCTCTTTGTGAGTAAAATTCTCCACAACACACCGAAACTACACTTCTGTAGCCCTTTTTCACTGAAGAAACACCACAGCAACATCTGTCTGCATCAAAAAGCACAGCATGCACTACGGCCCTATCCCATTTCTCATTTTTACCCCTAGTGGGTGAAATCTTCCCTATGAAATGGGAGCCTCGAATAAAAAGAGCATCATTTCATTAACAGCTACTAGCGCTGCTCTGTAGGTGACCCTGCCAGTCTGCAGTGACAGCAGAGGAGGGTAAAGTTCAGCTCCTCACTGCTGGGCTTTAATTACATTTAGGGCATCATATGCCTTCAAAGAGGGGGCAATTATTTATTATCACCCACCCCTAATTCTTCAGTGATATGAAGCTGAAGTCAGATATTCACCAGGTACTTGTTCGAATTTCCCCGTTCCACCTTAAGTGGAGCAGCAGTCACATTCTGGTGCTTCAGGTGTCAGAACTGCCGGATTATTTAAGGTGGAACGGGAAAGTTAGCTAGTCATCTACCGAGGCATTAGCATACTACTTGTGATTTTTATGCTTGTTATGAAAACAAAGACTATTATAAATTGAAACGACATTAAACTAAGATAATACGATGGTTATTGTAATTTTTAACGGAGAAAATTCTCACATTTGTGGGTTTCTTTGGTCTCTTGTTCACCCATCTTACCAGTTTTTCTTTTTTTCTCATAACGCTCTGTTTGGAGTCTCTGAAAAACCTCCGTTTGGAGGTTCATGTAGCCCTAACACTTCGTCCTACCCCTCTATCTCAACAAGAATTGGGACACCCTACCCCTAGATGTGAACACGCAAAAGGATGGGTAGGGCTGAGTGGTAGGGGCGAGGGGTGAAATGGGATTGGGCCTTTATTACTTACATACAGTAGTATGTTTGGAACCTACCTATCGCTGTTGTTGGAAGAAAACCTCATATCTCAAAAATGGCAACATACTCTACTTTTAATGCAAGTAAATGGAACCAGAATTTTTTCCAAGTCATTTTGGGATGTTTTCTTTTGGTCCATTCATCATGAAATTTACACACAATGTAAAGGACAACAGGCATTTTCAAATTATGTTAAACACTAAAAAAAACAACAAAAATGGAGAAAGAAGGTTTTCTTAGCCTTTTAATATTCTCCTTAAAGGGCCCAAATCACCGAAAACCAAACTTTCCTCACTTTTTCTGAAAAAGTTTGACTTATTTCGTAAACATTGTTTCAAAATGTTCACTGCCCAGTTTAGACAGTCTATATGTGGAAACTGCAAAAACAACCTGTTTTGAATTCAGTTTTTGTGATGTCACAAAATCCAAGGTCACAGCAGTTTAGCTCCGCTCGCATTCAAAGGAGTGTTTCAGCCCATTTATTTATAAATAAATAAATTACATAGGTAAATGAGACACAATACAAAGCACCCAATCAAAAACCCCAGTGAGTAATGTATACAGTTGTACGCAAAGGTTTTGGCGAAAATGAGCTAACGTTCTCTACAGAGAACATAACGAGCACATTTATTATCTGAATTTAACCTACTTGGAATATAAGAAACATAAAACGTGGTCTGTGCAAAAGTTATGGCACTTATTTCATGTTTTATTTTTTTTTATTTCCAATATGTTAAATTGAGCACGTAAACAGGAAATGTGCACTAAAATGTGCAGAAAAGTGGGAATATTTAAGTTTGTTCCCTGTGGAATGTAACTTTTGCACATGGCTGTGCATTCATTCAGGTGTGTCCAAACTTTTGACGGATACTTTAAACACAGGACACACACACACACTCTTCACGCATGGCCGTGTCTTCAAAAAGATCCCCCTCTACTTCACGCTAACTTAAAGCAAACGAGATATCTAGGCTCAGCCTACTGATCACATCATCCTTCAGCTATCTGGAAAGTGGAGGAGCGTGGGAAAAATCTCTCTCCCTCTCTCTCTCTCTCCCTCTCTCTCTCCCTCTATTACTCCCTGTCTCTCACTGGGGGGTTTAAACCGTAGGAGTCTGTCGGGAGTGGTCACAGCGTGTAGAAGCAGTGTTATTGTAAAAGCACTGAGCTGGAGCTGCTGGTGAATGAGTAACCGCTGCTCTGAAAGCTGATCAGTAAACAGTGCAGCTGTTGGCGTGGGTGGCAGTGAGTTCCTCAGGACGTTTCTCACTGCTGTCACTCACTGAACCTGAATCTACACCCGGCTGCAGCCGTCATGCCGCTGCTCTGACGCAGCAGTGCTGCCGCAACTACACCACAGTTTCACCTCAACCCAGAGGGAATCCAGAGGAGAGAATATTTCCGGCTTTTCTGGCTCACACACACTTAGATATGCACACAAACACACACACCCACCCCAAGGCTGGGTGCAGTGGGGCAGCCTGTGGAGACAGGCGGTTCTGCTGGTTAGGGCGATTAGGGTGGGCTGTGCCTGAAATGAGAATGGATGAGAAGATCATGCACTGAGGCGACCGTGCTCCTAAAATAAAGGTGCGTAGAGCAGAGCTCCTCAGCCTTTTCCTCCCCAAGGCCCACATATTTATCACTAGAAAGCATGAAGGCCCCAGGAAAACAGAAGTACCCATTTGTTTAAAAAAAAAATCGTTTTGGGGCAACACAGCGATGTTTGGGCATGTCACTGAACATAAAATATGAACAGATTAGGCTGAAATAAGCTTGTTTTTACTAGAAAATAGGCCTTTGGTACATGAACCCATTTAGGCCCAAAGATACAAGGAATTTTTCAGCAATAGCCCAAATTTGGCACCAGGCCACTTTGTGGCACTGCATATCCACCCAGTGTGTTTGTGCATGTGTGTGTGTGTATATATATATATATATATATATATATATATATATATATATATATATATATATATATATATAACAGTAATATTTTTTTTACACTATTCACTCACGAATGGACAAGTAAGGCTTCAGGGGGAGGTGTATTCAGCTTTGTTTGCGGTTGCATGTCTTGTATTAAAGAGCAAAATTTCTGCATAATTCTGTGGTTGGGATGTAAACAAAGGAGTGGTTTGATGTGAAATGATGCATGGTACACTTTCAGAAATAAAGATATGAAACTGTCACTGAGGCAGTTCCCCTCTTGTCATTGGGCTGGTTCCCTCAAGGGTACATCTCAGTACCTTTAGTCAGGGAACATAACTGAACCATAATCCATTGAAATTATGTGTTCTAAGCTGTACTGACTCCACACACCCCGTCTCGTCTCCAGGCTTTTACTTTATTGTTCTGTTTTAAAACATTCGGTTATGAAAAGGAACAAATACAAACTTTTTACCTGGAAAAACTTATTTAAGGTTCACAATCAGACCTTAAAACCACTGTTGTACCTTTGAGGTACATTTACATTGTTTGTACCTTGATGAATGAAAAATGTACCTGAACAGAACCTTTATTTCTAACAGTGTAGAGAAACTTACAGACTGTGATTTCTTTACAGTGGTGGTGATAGTTACTATCCAAATCAGTGACCCTACACATGTCTACAATTGCTCCCCTTCAGCATAGTCCCAAAGACCCCCAGGTACCCACGAGTGACCTGTGGCCCAGTGGTTGAGAAACCCTGCGATAGCAGAACCACTTGTGGCTCCCTAAGGGACCTCTGAAGAGAACCGTTTTTGTAAATGAGAAGAACTTTAAACAAGTTTGAAGAACCTGTTCATAATGCAAAGGTATTTGTTTGAGTATGAGTACACTAACTTATACTGTAAGCATAATGCACAACACAATGAGCGTCAAACCATTTGGCAAATTTTTTGGTTCCTCAAATTAGCCACTCTTTTCCTTAATAACAGCTTTAAACATGAGGCATTCGGCTAACAAGTTTCAGCAGGCGGTCTGATGTGTTCCCACAGATGCTCAACTGACTTGGGTTTCAGACTGAATTCTCCTTGCTTTAGATGGCGGATTCACTGAAATTCAGGAGATTTTAAAAGAAAATGTCTTTATTTTTTATATTTATTTAACTTCCTATATTCCTATATTTCCTTTCTTTCCCTTATTCTCTTCCTTATTCTCTTCTTTACTTACAGTTTTGAGCACAAGTCATGTATAATACCCAGTACATATTAAAACATTTATAGCACAGATAATCAGGAGAAAGGAACCAGGTGTGAAGTACACAGGACTTTTTTTCTAGTAGTATTCATTAAGTAATTTGCAATGAAGTAATTATGCTGTACAGTACAATAGTAATTGAGCAGCATTAGGAACATTTTCAGGTGTGAACTGCATATTCCTGTCATTCTAGCTGAACGTGAGTGTGTTTGTTCTAGAAGCCTTGTGTTTTATGCTGTTATGGTCTCATAGATAAAACTTATCATGACATAAATAAAAAGCAGCTTGTCTTTTTTGGTTTAGTTTGTTTTTGCTAGCAGCTCTAGTTACTAGTGTATCACTTTCTAAAAGGGTAAGCTCCAGAATTTTCCAAACTGCTCATAGCGAAACGATGCTAACTAGTACAGCTGGTTGACAGTTACGATCCAGTGTCGTCCCCCTTAAAGGACTAATTATAGGAACTGGAATTTTCCCCTGAAAGGAATAGAAGCCCTTTACAAATGTCCCCCCGTCAGCTAAGAGACATGCTTGGTTCTTAATGGATGCATAAGTATCAATACTGGTATCGGGTATCGGTCCAATACCACACTCATTTACTCGTACTCATAAAAAAAAACAAAAAAAAACAATACCAACAATTTGATGTGACTTAAGCTGCACTACCACACTAATAAACAAACGCAGCGAAGGAGGATCCACATCACCCAGAGAAACATTAACTGACTCTGTCACAGTCAGACACAGAGCCGCTGGTCACTTTAAACTATT